GACATGTTCGTAGGAACCCTTCATACAAACAAAAGTAAGAGAAATTTAGGATAAGAATACAAACATGTTCTTGCATGAGGCCCATTAAGTGCATCTTCCTGACCACTCAAAGAATTTAGGCTATTATTACCCATAAACAAACAAACACGTTTCAGCTTCAAATCTATTCATTAAGATGTCCTGATGCATCTCAGTAATCCAGGTAAAAAAAAATCAAAAAGAAAAAAATTGTGTAGGTCTTCTGGACGGGTTCTTCTCTAATGAAACGTTTCGTCTCTTCTCCAAGGGACTTCTTCAGTCTGAGAGGTTCAGGCAACTCTCAGACTGAAGAAGTCTCTTGGAGGAGAGACGAAACGTTTCATTAGAGAAGAACCCGTCCAGAAGACCTATACAATTTTTTTTCTTTTTTATTCATTAAGATCTCATTTCTCCATCACAGACACCTAATTACAATGATGATACATTATGATTAGGGTCATTTGTAAATCTTAATATCTTAACACCTTGATGAATGAAGTGAAAATGACTGGCTCCAAAACATTTTTATTTTATAATAGTTTTGGAAACAACACAGCCATATCACTGACTACAAAAGGGAAGTGCAAATAACTGTCCTACAAGCAGACAGTCAGAAGAAAAAACTTGTTTCTCACCAGCTGAGTCGTAGCCTCTGTATTCTAGACGTCTGAGACCTTTGAGGAGGATCTCAAGGATGTCACGCCGAGTCCTTGGCACATGGTAGTTGAGATAGGCAAAAATTCCTGAAGTGGAGGAAATGACAGTATTATTTAGCAGTGATCTTTTATTTATCCATTTAATTTGACAAATGATGCCATACATTTAATGACTGGGGTTTTAAGAAAGATGCACAATGACAGCTTGGTTATAGTGCATAAATCAATATTATATTAACAGGAGAATTTACAGCTAAAATACAAAAACACAATATAAAAATGTATGCAGAAATTCAAGAGGATTAAATACATTTTACATGTGATAATCTTCTATTTAAATGGAAAACAAATTTAAATTTTACATCAAACCCTCGTAAAGAAAATCAAATCTGAATACGTTAAGGAGGACACCGAAACACAATATATGGTTTAAATATTTCCACTGAATTGAGAAAAGAATTCTATGATGACATCTGTCTGAACCATTTAAGGTTCAGAGTCAAAGAGCTGACACACATTTCTACAAAAACCAGTCTAACCAGGAACACTATTGTAACTCGAGGTATTATTATGCAGTCGGTCACAAAGAGCTTCAAGACAACTGAAAGCAAAGAGTATCTGCAAGCAAGTAAAGGGAAAACAAAATCATTTAATACAATTCAGCTTTGTATCTGCTTATCATTTTCAATATTCTTACAGCGTCACATTCAAATCACACTGACACTCGACCGTGTAAAATTAATATACCAGCTCAAAGTCAACTGTGCTACAGCAAAAGGCCACAAATAAATCAAAGCTCAGAACAGTTTATTTTCAGCTACAGCAAATAATAAGCACTTTCTACAAAACATCTGCTATCCATTCCAACAAACAGGACAAACGCTGAAAGAAGTAGTGACACCAAAAATGTCCAGAGGGGAGCAAGATATACAGTTTAATATTCAGCTGTACACCGCCAGATACATGCAAATGCTACCCCAGCAGACTGCCTTATAACAGGACTTTCATTCAGACTGCAAAAGGAGGTGGGAGGAAGAGAGGGGCGAAGGGAAAATGCTGAGGAGGGAGGGCAAATAAATCACAAGGACTACCTCTGATGAATACACAGAGCTGAAAGCAACAGAGTAAAATGGCAACAGGTACAATATTAACAGAAAGAAAATAAACTGGTTTCTCTAGTCTGATTGGTTTACTCAGATAGTCATGACAATGATGTGAAACAGAGCCGTCAGCTGCCTGAAACAAGTGGAAAAGTATACCAAACACTTCATAAGCTAATGCTAGAATTAACCAAATAAATGACCATTAGCATCACATGCAAGTGTATTTTAAGCAAAAGTCACAAAAACTACTGTCTTCTTGGTACGTTTAATATCGAATATCTAACACAAATGTTAAGAAACAGGAGAAAATGTAGGACTGTAAATCACTTCGACAAATCAAAGATGGTGAAATATTAGGTGATGACGACGACGACGACGACGACGACGACGATGATGATGATGATGATGATGATGATGATGATGATGATGATGATGATGATGATGATGATGATGATGATGATGGACATTGTCAGTGAGAGAGAGACCACCTTGCTGGAATCATTTGACTTTCAGTATGTTTGACACTAATAACTAAACAATTCAACCAGAGCACAGATAGTGAAGGAAACACGGCGTTTTATATTTAGCTGACTATCAGAAACAACAGCTAGCCACCCCAGCTAGCTAACAGCTCAAACTGAAGCCACAGTAAACAGGCGCTTTTTGGCTTACTTTTCCACTCTGAGTAATAAGGAACAGAAACACATTTGTCACTGAATAATAAAAACGCGTACAACAACCACTCACCACACATGTCTTCAGTTCGGGTGCCAGATACAGCTACTCAGGTCTGCTGGTAGCTGGGGGCGCCTGTCAATGAGCCTCGCCCCCTTGAGTTCAACAAGCCAACCGCCTTCTTCAATGACACTCTGTGATTGGTCGATATAGCTGTCAGTCAGGTTGCACCTACCGACGTACGCAGTTCTGACGTGGCAGCAGGATGTGAGCGGTGGGCGGAACAACTCGTAAGATCCTGCTGAAGCCACTCAACACACCCCTAAAGCAACATCACCCAACAATAGCAGGCTTATTTACTGACAGTCTTAGTTAATGTCAAATTTATCATAACAAACGAATTTATTATCAGTTCAAAAGTTTATTATTACTTAAAAATATTTTAAGGGTGTGTTAAGAAATTGGGTACTTAGTTAAGGTCCAAAATAAATTTTGTTGCAGAGGACTTGAACAGAGATGTCAAATCTAATATTTAAAGCAAATTTTATTTTATTATTTGTGTGTGTGTGCTAGTTCTGCACTCACCCTATCATTTCCCTACTTTATTTATTTTCCATTCGTTTCTGCATACCTTGTGCTATTTCAGCCATTCACTTATCAAAACAGCTCCTCTAGGATTAGGGTGCTATGACCTTTGGCATTAGTAGAATTAGAAATCCAATTAAGCACACTTACTATATCTTGTTTTCTTTGTTACATTAGCTACTCTTCTGCAACGTAGCCTTTTGCTTCATTTGCCCATCCATTTGTTACTTCTAGTTTTTAGCCAGCATTCTGCTGATTTGAGGTTTAATGAATTCGTTTTAGCTTCTCCAAGAAGTCATTCAGCACTCAGCAAGTCTAAACAAAATTAACTTGTGACCCCAAATGAATACAACCATGTCAGATGATTGTTTTTGGTTCACAGTGCATGCTCAAAATATCTGACTCTGTTTCAATATGGAAACATCACATCAACTACATTAATACAAATAGTTGGCAGAATCATCCACTAGTTTTATTTTATTTTTGCGATGTAATGAATGTTCTTACAAGTTGTATGTATTTTTTACACAAAACAAAAAGACCACACCACAAAAAAATATTTTTTTCAATGTTTATATTCTGGAAATACATTTACATGCATTATGTACTTACATAGATACAGTATCAATTAAGTATTTTCTGCCTGAATGTTGTTTTGACCTGTAGTTAATTTAGAAGTTGAACAACACTGTAAAAGAATAAATTCCATTTGTTTAAGCTGTACAATAAGTGTCTGATCAGTTCTGTCCTACATTTTGCAAAAGGTGGACAGAACTACCTAAATACACAACAGTTTTTTTTTGTTTGGTGCTACTGCTTTGAGTGAGATAAGTGGTTTGGAGTGAGAGAAAGAGAGAGAAATGCATCAATAAAGTTCTTATTATTAGCTCAAACCTCTGCTGCCTCTTCGTTCTCATCATCCTTTACCTGTAAAAAAATAAGATAAAAACAATTTAATATTTTTCCGAAATGTTTATTCACTTTTTACCAGAGTTCTAAATAAATCACATCAATCAGAGCGTGCTCAGAGCATTACTTTTATTGAAATATAATAAAAAATATAATAAAACCGTCAAACCAACCTCTTCTACTGATTCCACCTCGGGTATGTAAAACTGCAGCATGTTTTGGATTCCGTTCTTCAACGTTATGACAGAGCTGGGGCAACTGGTGCAGGAGCCCTGCAGCTTCAGTTTGACGATGCCATCATCGAACCCTCGATACAGAACATCGCCTCCGTCCTCCTGCACCGTTGGCCTGGAGAGTGAGAACATCATCATGTGTGAGTATAACAAAACAAAACAAAACAACAGAAAACCACAGATGGCAGAGTCAACGTGCATCTCTGTAAGCTGTGACCTTATTCGTGTATCTAGTAGCTCTTTGATCATAGCAACAACTTCATCATCATCCTCTGATGGTGCTGAGAAAAGAAATGGTAGCACATTTGGAATTGGAAAATAGTTTGGCTCAAGGTTTTGTTTTGTTTTACATTTTCTCCTTCATACCCGTATCTGCACTTGGCTTGCTGTCCTCATTGACAACTGGGAGTCCAGAAGTGAAGAAATCCATAATTGTGGCATAAACATCAGGTTTAATTACCCTCCATTCCATATTTTCATCAGTCTTAGTAAAGAGAAAAGAAAACAAGTTAACACTTGTGATGACGTTACACAGTGCTGAGATTTAAAGATGCTGGACATGAATTTACCCTCGTGATGGTGATAAAATCTGGACCCAGGAAGACACTTTTAACTCCATCAATTCTAAAAAGTTGTCTGGAGACAACACAGGGGTTTAAATATGTTAATAACTACTGAAAAGTTAGTTTCATATAGTGACATTTCTAATGAGACAACTTATAATAAAAATGTGCTTCACTGTGCTTAAATAAAAAGATATTCTACATATTTGATACTTTAATAAAACAAGTGTGCATAATAGGCAACAGTATCAGGGGAGTGGTGGCGCAGAGGTTAGAAAGGATGAGTCTGTGATCGGAAGCTCACTGGTTCAATTCTTCCAACCAGATCCACTTTCGACCCTTGAGCAAGGCCCTTAATCCCCCCCACCCCGGGGTTCTGTCATTGGCGGCCCACTGCTCCACATGTGTGCGATGGGTAAAATGCAGAGAATTAATTTCCCCATCAGGGGATCAAGACAGTGTATAAAAAATAAAATAAAAAAATAAAAATCTCTTTACTTGTCTGTTAAAACCAGAGGAACAAAAGCAGGCCTAACTTTATTTACAGACTACAGAATCGAGGCTATTTAAGGTCTACACAGTAGTCAAAAGAAATTGAGTTTCACCAGTTTTGATAGGACAAAAACAACAAATAATGCACGTCGTCAGACATAAGTCTACCTGAAAACTAGAGTATATTTATTTCAATCCAAATAGAAAAGAAGGAACAAGGTCAGAAAAGCTTTAACCTCCAACAGATTTACCTATAATAAATATGTGATCAAAATACCTTCTTAAATAATTTGATATATTCCGTTTATATTATTAAACTTCTATGAAAGAAGCCTTATACCTGGCTAAGGGTGAGCAGTAAGCATCACGAGGGCTGGCAAAATTCATAGTTCCTTCCTCAAGAACTGTGCGACCAGGCAAAAACTTTAAACTGTTTGGATTTGGTGTATCCTGCGTCTGCACAAACATGCTCCTTTCTGAAAAGAAACAAAACAGTATATCAGAAAGCCTCAAGAGCATGTCTTGTTGTTATCTACATGTGCAGATACAAGATTTTCTCATAACATCCAGGCACCTGATGAGCACTTGTTCTCACAGTATGAACACACTAGCTACGTTTACATGGACAAAAGGTTTAAATGGCCGTTCGGAATAAAAATGCGTCATGTAAACAGCTCGTTCCGATTATTCTAATCAGATTGAGCTCGATCCGAATGAATTTTTAATCCGAATGAAAAGTGTGGGTTATGCCGATTGATAATCGGAATGATGTTCATGTAAACACTTAATCCAATCATCTTATTCTGATTGTAGAAAACTGACCTGTGTGCATGTCTGCTGACTTTTATTCACCTGGTGGGACAGCAGCGCTCCAGCTGTGCTGCACCGCGCAGAACTTTTCCTCCACGCTCTCTTAACAGATGAAAAGAGGCAAACAGCAGATGTTGCTCCGCAAGAATTAAAAATAAAAAGCACGTTTTGCTTCATCTGCAGGCTGCAGCTCAACCGAGGAGACGAGTAACGACGTCTCTACCGTTATTAAAAGCTGACACGGGTCTGTCCTGAGCGCACAGAGGAGCTTTGTTTACGTTTGTAACACGGAAGTAGAGCTGACAGTTTACAACACTGCACATGTCCAGACTTTTATTCTGAATAAAACTCCGGTGCATGTAAACACTTTTCATGATCGGATTGTGTCCATGTAAACAGTACATTCAGATTATTTAATCTGAATACATTTCAATCCGATTAAAAACTTTTGTGCATGTAAACATAGCTATTGTCTTGTATAAACACATCCAGTGCAGGACTTATGAATGAGAGGATGAAAGACAATTACAGACCAGGAACAGTCCAGAGGGGGGGTTGTGGCCATCTGTTAGATACTCCTGTAGCTTGTGAAGGCCAATGAAATCCACTGCTCTGACACCCACTTCCAGCAAGACTGAAATATGTTTAAAAATGTTAAAAAGTGTTACTACCTTCACCCATGCTCAAGGCATTAATGCAGATCAGTCACTTATGTTTGATTTATTTCATTTCAACACTTTATTATGAGACGGATGTGATGTCAACATTGTCTAAGATTGATTGCTATCTACAAAACAATTTATGTGCCAGTTTAGAGGAACTGTACCCCTTCTGTGGCAACATTTATGCAAACCTTTGTACAATCAGTGAAGCATAGACATTGTTCTGGAAAAAGACAGCATGATTGCATTTAAAATATGACTAAAGTGAATACAATCTGTTCACAAAAGAACCGTCATGTGCCAAAATTTACAACAATTTCAACACATAGATTATATATATTTTTTATGTAATACAGTATATGTACAATAAAAACAACTAAGTCTGAGCTATACAAGAGAGATAAAGTGACTTTTTATGACAATTGAAAATTAGTTTCTTACTTTATTTGTGTGTACCTGGTTTTTGTTACATTTTTAGGACCTTTTCTGGTATACACACTTACCAGGATCACTTGTTTTTTTGGGGGACCAAAACACAATTTAAGTACTTTAAGTACTTTGTGAAGTTATTTCTAAGAAAATTGCTTTATAAATAAAATGTTACTTTTAACTTACTTACTTACAATTTTGAGTCAGGGGTTAGGATTAGGACTAAGGTGTGAACTGAATTTAGATTAGGGTTAGGATTAGGTATATACCAGGGGTGGTTATGTTTATGGTCAGGATATATAAGAGCAGGGCATACTAGACATTCTTCTATACACTCAGCAGCAGATCATGTTACTGACACATGATCAAATTTGAAAGTGCACAGCTGTAAACATGGTTTAGCAAATACAATTAGTCATAAAACAAAAGGAGAGCTTTAAATAAGTTTTTATTCACTTTTTAAATTTAAAAAATAGAATTAAGTACCCATGTAGTAAGTAAGTTCTAGTCTCTTCTGAGAGGCAGTAAAAAGTTTTAGGCAAGGATTTCAATGGGGGGAGGAGGGGAGGGAGGAAGGAAGGAAGGAAGGAAGGAAGGAAGGAAGGAAGGAAGGAAGGAAAGAAAGAAAGATTCCGTAAATAAAAAAATAATAATTTTGATCAAATAAAAGCCTCATTTACTTGAAAATTTGCAGTACAGAAAACTTCAGTCCGAATTATGTCACTATCAAGTACGTAGTGATCAATCAGGGATTTGCTGTATGGGTGCTGTTGACATTTTGCTAAATTCTTAAGTTAAAACAGTAATGATAAATAAATAATATAAACACATTTGACTATATAAGTCTATTTTTATCCACACACATATGCGTGAATAGTTTGTGTAGCTGATTAGGATGACAGGAAGAGTCTAGATAAGACCATCTGCTACTGACGCGAGTCTCCGTCGCTCCAGGTTTTTTTTTTTTTTTTTTTAACAAATACCTAAACATTAAGAGTAAATTCTAAAACAAATATTAAAAACGGTGCGACCTTAAAACTAACTAACAAATACACTTACGGTCGTGAAAGTCTTGCAGAAATTCTCAACAACCTTCCAACCTGTCTATATGTCGCCATGATTGTTGTTGTGGAACAACAATTTAAAACGGAAATGGCCTCTGCGTGTCCGGAAGTGACGGATTATTATTGTACGTTGGCTAAAGACTCCCCCGAAACAACAAACCTCTACCGTCGACATCCGATTGGGTTTTTAGCTTGAACAGTGAATTTATATAAAAATGCCGTGTGGTAAGAATTTTAGAAGGAGGAAGGAATCTTCAGATGAGGAAGAGGAGGATGATATAACAGAAGAAGTTCGGTAAATTACTCCGATACAACACATACAACATTTTCTAATGTAACGTTGTGTTAGCCAGCTAGCACCAGCAGTGCGGTTAAGAAATTAAACTCGTTTGTATTTCCACTCATAATAACATGAGTAACACACGATTTGTTTAATGTAATTTTATGTATGATTTTTTTTTTTTAATTTTCAGAATGAAAATGGAAGAGGCTAAAGAGCTCCAGAGTTTGAGGAAACGGCAGAGCGGTGTGAGGTATGGAGATTTGTATTATAATTGTTTTAAACTTTGACTCAAACACACATTAGATGTAAATAAACATTCATATTTTTGTTTTGTTCAGTGTGACCGCCTTATTGGTTGGAGAGAAACTACCGCCAGAGGCTGAAATTGATGTAAGCATATTTCTGCACGACACGTTTGTTTGGTTGCATCTTATTACCTTGTGTTTCTTCATTATCAATTCTTTTCACAGAATGATCCTTTCAAGCTGAAGACTGGAGGAGTTGTAGACATGAAGAAAGTGAAAGACAGGAATAGAGACATGTGAGTAAAAAAAATATATTTTAGTGCAGTGTAATAACCAGACTGTATTCTTTATTGTGTTATTACAAAATGCAAACTACAAAACAAATGTGTACTGTGATGGGAGTTATTGGTCCAAGTTATCCACATACAGGACAGAAGATGAGACAGACCTCAACCTGGGCACGTCATTTTCAGCTGAGACTAACAGAAGGGACGAGGATGCAGACATGTAAGTAATAAATGCAATGACACTATATGCACAAAACAACAAATGCTTACAATATTTGTCATTTACAATGTGCTACCAAATGTGTAGAGGTCATGTTAAAAATAATTTGAGGAGGACGACAACAACAACAACAACAACAACATCAACAATAATAATAATATGATTGGATATAACATACACATTCTTGTTTATTAATCATTCAAGCAATTAATCAATAATTGCTCCTCATTTTGACCATTGAGTCAGCCAAAGTTACAAACAAAGACAGCTTTTGTTCGTTTTTTGTTTGTTTTTTAACTGTTGCTGGACAGATGATATGAAAGTATCTAATCTTTAGATTTTATTAAGAAAGCAAGGTGTAGCATATAATTTGTAAATGCTAATGTAAAATGTTTGGACTAGAATCAGGAGTTTCCAAGTTCTGCTCTGTGAGAAAGTCGGATTTGTGCTTAATAAAGACAATGGGCCTCATGCAAGAACATGTTCGTATTCTTCTCCTAAATTTCTCTTACTTTTGTTCGTACAAAGGGTTCGTACGAACATGTCACGTCAGATTCAACAAACTCTTCTACCTTCAGGAAAAGTGTAAATGAGCATCATAAACTGATGAATGCCACTTGTTCATATTCAGCTGCTCGTGCACGAG